TGACTTTAACAATCTGTGAGAATAAACTGAAGCCTTCCCTACTTTTTGAACCCACTCGCCCTCCCCAATCTGTTTGTTCAGACCTCTGTTCGTCCTTTATCAAATCAACCCTGCTATGCTGGTTGGTTTCTGTGAGATTGTGAGCTTATTTTATCCCAATGTTGTTGGGGCATCGAGGACATTCGAAGAAATTGAGATTAACTGCCTTGTGTATACGTGCACACTCCATACTTGTCGCCTAAAAGGGTTTAACGATAATTTTCTGTAAAGTAAGTAGTTACAGTTGTACAAAATTTGTCACAATCAGGCGTCTCGAAAACTCCTCATTAACGGCGGAATATTTCGTAGAAACTTTGCCTCACAGGTGAATTCAAAGAATATTTGAAGATGGATCTTTTTGTCTCGTTGAATAAAACCTGTAAATCGCGATCGGCAAAAGAATGACAGACTCCAGCTCAAACAAGTAAATAAAAAGTTTTTAGTCCATGTTAACAAACTCTCCTCATTGGTACGTTCATATTTTTCTTATTTACACTGACGCAGAAGTTGCCCATGGTTGCTTGTTTGATTGAGCAAAATATCGAGGCCACCTGCAAAATGCCAGATCGTATTCGCGGATTCACCAATTGATACAACGCATTCAGTATTTTGCCCAAGTTTCCTGGATCGGTTTTACACCTGTCGTTCAGTGGCTGCCATCGACCTAAAAGGTACAAACACATACATTGTGCAAACCGGCAACCAGCCAGGGCGAATGAATTACGGTTATACGGTGCGTTTGGAACAGCTACTGACGAAATTTAGGCAAGCGCATGCAGTAGGTTATTTGTGTCCGGATAAGTGGCCAAAAGTTTGACTCCTCCACAACTCCAGCGGTGTAGAACAAGCACTGAAATTGTGTACGTGTATTGTTTGATTGAATTTATTCGTGCTACATGCTAGTGAACGATATCCAGGTGCAGCCTAGAACTAAACCTAATTTTCATGCTTTCTTATTTACCAATCGATTTACTAATGAGGACTGCACACTGTTCACCAGCACGAAGAAGTTCAGACTAACTTCTGTTAACGGATTCCGGTTCACCTAATGGCATACGCAGCACAATGCTATGAAAATGCCCCGACTGAGCAGTTTACACTCAATAATGGTAAGAAGAAGCCAGTTTAGAACGCTCCTGTGGTTCACCTGTCGGTAAACGCTAGAAAAAGCCTGAAAGTAAATTATAACTACATGTTAGGCTAGAGACATATGTAATGGAAATAAGTTTTTGCGCGGACTGCTTCCGTTGCGGTCTAGCTTCATTCATCCTTCCCATTGTCTCTAATGGTGGCAGGTTTGAAGACAGAAAAAACTGTCCTGGTTAAGGGGATTCGCTTTTGTAACCACTTTTCCTCTTTGCTCGTTTAACGGTAGCTTCCTGGTCTCAGAGCGCTTTTGTAAGCGCCGGTGAGGTTTTGCTAGGGAGCAATCAACTTTTGACATTAAAAATGTGTCAGGCGAAGCCAACAGGTAGCAGGGTCTGATGAGTTTTGAAGATGAACGGAAAACCGGTGTTTTCATACAAACACACCATATAAGGGTCGAAAAGCAAATTAAGGTTTTGTCGGCCAGTGTGCGTATCTGGGAGATAAGTAGACGCTAATGGCCTACCATAGTTGACAAATCGTCCAAAGTTTTCTGAAGCTGCCGTCAGCTGTTTAAAAGCTTTGGCTGGTGCGCATTCTTGGCTAGTCCCACCAGAATCCATGAAGAACGCTTGTAAGTGACCGTGTCGCCAAAACCAGACACAATTGTTGCACTCGGAGTATGTGTGATAAATTTCGGCGGCCGCGAAATGTCTCTGTTCCGCAGAATTGAGAACAAGTCGTCCTTTTGACAAGAGCACAAGGCTGGACATTTCGGACCGAGGACTGAGCCGATACATTACAGTTACTGCACGCCGAAGGCCAAGCAATGCACTTTTGATGTTCTTCACATGGTTTCGATATCAAGATGACCTCATAAATCCTATGGTTTGGAAAAAGCCTCCGTACCTCTTTGGATTCCGGAAGAGATTTACCCATTCGGCAGCCCACTGAGGTTCACGTAGCCCACAGAGAGATTAATCTATATGTCACATAGATCACCTGGCCTGCAAGTATGGGTTTGGTCCCGCCTGGCCTTTTAGTGGCACGTTACGACTATGCAGTGTCTTTAGGGCACCGAAACAAATTTGCCGAGTTTAGTTAAGCAGTTCGTATTCCCAGAGGGTATGGACTGAGGGTGGCGATTTTGTCAGTGAGCGAACGCCGCCGGAGGGCTTGGGCACCAGGGCCGTTGTCAACCACAAAAAACAAGCAGCTCAGACGAAAGTAGATGGCAAACGCTCCTTCCCAAACGAACGAGTACCTAGCGTTATCCAACCCGAGACCGTTGGCTGCGAAGGTCGCCGAACACTGTGATGTAGCATACAAGACTGCCACGGTGTCTCTAGTGGGCGGGCGCATGATGGAGATTAGTCTCATTATCTGGAGATAATTCTCCAGAAAAAACACGCCAACGAACCTGGCACAGTTTCTCCTTGGCGGTGTCCTCCGCGGGCCCGACCACGGATCATCCCACGCAGAGTGGTTAAGCTGAAATGGAAGCAAGTAAGCGTTTTGGTTTATAGTCCCCTTTCCTCCCCATCTGACGCACAGAATATCTTGGAGTGGGTTGTCGGCGCTCAAGAAGCTTGCCCAAAGATCAAGAACACTTTGGAGGATAGTCTTTTAGAGGTGCGAAAGATGAGTCAAAAATACTGGAAGAAGCACGAAACGGGCTCCAGCTTGGTGCCCGTTCAGTCGACGTCAAAGCTTCAGCTAAACAGATAATAGTTAAAGCCTATTTTGCTCTAAAAAACACGCAAATGCAAACAACAGAGACTTCGGATTACAGCTCCTTCTAACCGCCGTACACCCCTCTACTACCAAAAGCAGCGCTGCTCCTAAGGGAGAAAGCATCCCGAGGGCACAGTGCCCGAAATACGCAGAGCTATCATCGCTTATTTCCGCAGCAGACGACGAAGACGCAACAATGTTCTCCACACCCAATCACAGATTCTGGGCTGGATTGGGTCATATGTGCGGTGAAGCCTACCAAAAAATCAACCACAAGCATTGACATCGACATTGAAGAATGTTGTCCGAACTCTATAGACACTGAAAAATTGAAATTACCAGTTTTCAGCTCCACTGCACCAAGAGATTTCTCGTTGACCAGGCGTTAGTTAAGGCTTCACTGGGCCGTATTAAGCACTGTGTGCTAACCTTTGATTTCATCCACTAGTAGCAGAGCTACGCCTTTTTGGCTCGTGCCTTCTTGGTCGATGGCAGACACTGAACGACAAGTATAAAACAGATCCGGGTAACCTGGACAAAACCCTCGATGCGGTGTATTACTCCATGGATGAATGAACCCATCCGCTCCTGTGTTCCGCGCTAAACGAAGATTTTAGCTGCGCGAAATCCACCAAGTGAAACCTACATTAATAGTCATTCTCCCGTTTGTGGATTGGTCTGCTGCTGATAAAATTGGAGAGACACCACCCTGTGTTGCGGGGTGATGGACCGATAGGTCGTTTTGGTTTTGAATCCATATGGTGCTTTCACTAACCAGTAAAACATCGTTTGTGTTTTTTCTCAGATATTTCGCATTACGTTTTTCATGCTAGCTACAAAAGACGCACCACTATTACAGAAAAAGACCAGTTGTATGCCTTTTAGATCATAGGCTTTGTTGCTTGAATGCAAGAAAGTTTGGCAGGGGGCAAACAGTCCTGTCGGCTCCAGAGATCAAACTGATTGGATTCAGGCAGTTTATTCTTAAACGCTCTCAGCCGATGACTTTAACAATCTGTGAGAATAAACTGAAGCCTTCCCTACTTTTTGAACCCACTCGCCCTCCCCAATCTGTTTGTTCAGACCTCTGTTCGTCCTTTATTAAATCAACCCTGCTATGCTGGTTGGTTTCTGTGAGATTGTGAGCTTATTTTATCCCAATGTTGTTGGGGCATCGAGGACATTCGAAGAAATTGAGATTAACTGCCTTGTGTATACGTGCACACTCCATACTTGTCGCCTAAAAGGGTTTAACGATAATTTTCTGTAAAGTAAGTAGTTACAGTTGTACAAAATTTGTCACAATCAGGCGTCTCGAAAACTCCTCATTAACGGCGGAATATTTCGTAGAAACTTTGCCTCACAGGTGAATTCAAAGAATATTTGAAGATGGATCTTTTTGTCTCGTTGAATAAAACCTGTAAATCGCGATCGGCAAAAGAATGACAGACTCCAGCTCAAACAAGTAAATAAAAAGTTTTTAGTCCATGTTAACAAACTCTCCTCATTGGTACGTTCATATTTTTCTTATTTACACTGACGCAGAATTTGCCCATGGTTGCTTGTTTGATTGAGCAAAATATCGAGGCCACCTGCAAAATGCCAGATCGTATTCGCGGATTCACCAATTGATACAACGCATTCAGTATTTTGCCCAAGTTTCCTGGATCGGTTTTACACCTGTCGTTCAGTGGCTGCCATCGACCTAAAAGGTACAAACACATACATTGTGCAAACCGGCAACCAGCCAGGGCGAATGAATTACGGTTATACGGTGCGTTTGGAACAGCTACTGACGAAATTTAGGCAAGCGCATGCAGTAGGTTATTTGTGTCCGGATAAGTGGCCAAAAGTTTGACTCCTCCACAACTCCAGCGGTGTAGAACAAGCACTGAAATTGTGTACGTGTATTGTTTGATTGAATTTATTCGTGCTACATGCTAGTGAACGATATCCAGGTGCAGCCTAGAACTAAACCTAATTTTCATGCTTTCTTATTTACCAATCGATTTACTAATGAGGACTGCACACTGTTCACCAGCACGAAGAAGTTCAGACTAACTTCTGTTAACGGATTCCGGTTCACCTAATGGCATACGCAGCACAATGCTATGAAAATGCCCCGACTGAGCAGTTTACACTCAATAATGGTAAGAAGAAGCCAGTTTAGAACGCTCCTGTGGTTCACCTGTCGGTAAACGCTAGAAAAAGCCTGAAAGTAAATTATAACTACATGTTAGGCTAGAGACATATGTAATGGAAATAAGTTTTTGCGCGGACTGCTTCCGTTGCGGTCTAGCTTCATTCATCCTTCCCATTGTCTCTAATGGTGGCAGGTTTGAAGACAGAAAAAACTGTCCTGGTTAAGGGGATTCGCTTTTGTAACCACTTTTCCTCTTTGCTCGTTTAACGGTAGCTTCCTGGTCTCAGAGCGCTTTTGTAAGCGCCGGTGAGGTTTTGCTAGGGAGCAATCAACTTTTGACATTAAAAATGTGTCAGGCGAAGCCAACAGGTAGCAGGGTCTGATGAGTTTTGAAGATGAACGGAAAACCGGTGTTTTCATACAAACACACCATATAAGGGTCGAAAAGCAAATTAAGGTTTTGTCGGCCAGTGTGCGTATCTGGGAGATAAGTAGACGCTAATGGCCTACCATAGTTGACAAATCGTCCAAAGTTTTCTGAAGCTGCCGTCAGCTGTTTAAAAGCTTTGGCTGGTGCGCATTCTTGGCTAGTCCCACCAGAATCCATGAAGAACGCTTGTAAGTGACCGTGTCGCCAAAACCAGACACAATTGTTGCACTCGGAGTATGTGTGATAAATTTCGGCGGCCGCGAAATGTCTCTGTTCCGCAGAATTGAGAACAATAGACAAGCCTCAAGAATTTTTGGCCTTCCCGGTGGCAATGTGGCAGGCCAACAATTCCCTGAAAGCGTCTGATGTCCGCAAAAGAGAGGTGTAAATGTTTTCTGGGGCATATGATTGAGGAACCACCCGGTGGCCGACACCGTCTCACCGGGACATTGTGTCTTTCATTTTAATCAGCAAACGCCTGGCAATCTGTAGGAGTCATCGTGCTACTGTCGCGTCCTGCTCTAAACTCTAAAAGACGAAGGTCCAATTTTGGGTGAAGTGAACCAATCTGGAAAACGTCACATCTACAATATTGTGGACAAGGATGCCCGTGAACGGCCGAATAGTTCGTCTAGCATACGTTGCCTATCATCCACATCCCAGCCCAATATCGGTGTTTTACGCGGCTTTGGCCGACCCACATACAGAAAGCAGCTAGAGCAACATACTGTATCAGGTCACTACCGTAAATTTAAAGGGCCTTTAACCCACAACCCATCCTAGAAGGAAAATAATGGTGGCCCGTAAACAATTGTACAAATGATCACTCACGTCCACATGCACAGCGCGCCTCCGGGGTATTTTGCTTCTTGCCTTCGTCTTTGCAACTATGCCTTGGGAAGCCAGTCCCATAAACAGTTCTGGTATTGGAACTTTGTAGGTGCCGCTTAAGTCCACACTGATAACACAGCTAAGATGTCTAGCATCTACACCACGCTTCTCGAACTTTTTGGTATTAAAGACTTGACTACCAACCGTTCTCAAGTTCCCGATTTTGACCACGCCAAACTCGACTTTTTGTGAAGATGGATGAATGGTTATCTTCACTGCACACCTTGTTACTTCCCCGACGATGGCAGTGGAACACCTGGCTATAGTCGCCTATTTTGTGTCCACTGAACGCCGATTCACAATGGTGGACATTTATTTCCACGAAAACGACCTTCGTCCTCTCACCAGAATCAACTGCTAATGCACGAAAGTTTTGTTCATCTTTAGTGCGGTGACTCATAAAGGTTCACTAGGATTTCCTCGATTCCGGACATGTATGATTTGGCAACATTCACATTCTGATTAATGGCCCCACGTGGCATTCCGAACTTGTCAGGATTCTCACCAGTCGGCTGATTTCTTGTGTAAGGTGGAAGTAGATGAGCGACTTTCATCCAATTGGTCCTTACCCTCAAACCTACAAGCAAAGGTTTTGCAGCATCCGGTTCTTGGGTGCACACCATAAATTTTCCTAAAACCACAGTTTGAACGAAGCACAGAATTTCAGAACACGACGGTATTCGTTGAGAAACTTAAAACCACTTCAGACATTGAAGGTTTTGCCAAATTTGACCAGATTGACCCAAGGTTCAATCTGTGCGCTCAATTTGTATTTATAGAGCTGACGTAAATCAACGTGATTTCTCTGTAAATGCGCCTTGTAGAAGTTGGCAAGCTTATTGACAAACAGGAACCTCTATTTTGTTTGCTTGCAAGGTTTTATCTCCTTCAATGTATTAACTCCTTGATGGTTACTCCCTATTACCTGAAGCACAACTACCAAATGAGTAAGTTTACTTTCGACAGATCCTTCTTAAACAGACTCCTGATATGCGTTGAAATAAAGGAATGCTACGCGATATTGTATTACAGGACTACGTCATCAAAGGTCCGACACTACGTGGTGAAATTTGGGAACGTTCTGACTACTGTAGCCGTCTGTATAAATACCTATCCACATTGCTAAGTGGATCAATGTTAGGGCTTATCTCCGTTAAGTAGATGACGTGCCGTTTGTTCTCGCAAAACTCCGCGCGTGACCGTACACCGGTGGTTGAGTCTGCCCTGGCCCCTTGTGGTTTCCTGCAGGCGAAAAACAGCTTTAATTCGATGTTTTCCAGAAGTCGCAAAAGTTGACGCCACGCTGCTGCCACGTTGTGGTTGTTGGGCCCGTATGTTGCCATGATCCTGCGAGCTGCACTAATCGAAATGCATTTTGTAGGGTTGAACCATTCCAGGATGGGTAACGCACGGCAACCAGCCTATGGTATTTTTGTTACGCCTTTTGGTACATGTTTGCTTGCTAGAAATTGACGCTAATGGAACTTGGTGTACTTAATGAAAAAATATCGGATACTTAATGCAAGTTTTCTGACGTTTAACCTGCTGTCATAGAATTCAAGTATTAGCCTATCCAGCCAATTCTCAGATTACTGGTGGAAACAAGTTAGCTTTTATGACTTTGGGATTTATGATGGTCCATCTCTTTTACCTCGCTCACATTTTTAGTTGAGATTGATATTTAACTGATTATATGTTCCTTATTTCACAGCTATCGTAGCGTAAACGTGGTTTCCGGAGAAATCAAGCCAAAGTAATTGGCCAGTAGTTTCGTACCGGGCCATTCTATAAATAGAATTATATTTCACCGGCGGTGGTTCCATCATTTTCAGGCATATGCATGTCAGATGGCTTTCGTTTGCCGGTCGAAGAAAGTGACAGCGTATAAAATAACTTGTTGCGATCATGTTGATTGAGGAACGATCGGAATAGGGAGATATGGAGACAGCGCATAGGGCACAACAAACAGCGGAGACGGAATTTTATTGGTGGCAGAAAATGAGGTTTGGGAAATCCAGGCGAGAGTTTCATCGAGTTAGAATGATCTCGTCATATGGGCGGCTGGAGCCGGGTGAAAAATTTGTTCGTAGCTCAAATTATGTGCTCGAAAGGGCGAAAGATTGCGTTCGAGATTCTGAAGAAACTAGTTGCGGGAGTGCCATCACACTGGGTATGTTGGTGCCATGCCATCACTGTGCTGACATAGTTCGGTTTATGGGTAGCCCCGTTACGGCCATTAAGGATGCCTCAACCGGAAAGGGGATAGACATTCCCATGGCAGACCGATCTGAGTTAGGCAAGGAGATTGAGACAGACGTGCTTAAGTTATTGCGTGGTCACGGACAACTTCCCTTCTGTTTTAGGAACACGTGAGTGTGTACCGGGACCAGCCAGATTGAATGAATAACAGTTGTACGGGGCGCCTCCGCGACTACAACTGAAGTTTGAAGCTTGAGAAGCGGAGTGCGAAAGAAGTAGGACGAGCGCGGTAGCGTCTGGTGAATGCGAAAGGCATCAAATAAAACGGTGTCAGTGTATAAGAAAACCAAAAGTGGGTGGCAGTAAGCTAAACGAACCCAAAAACGATAGATTCGTTTTCTCTCCTAAAAACCGAGTACTAGCTGATAGCAGGCGCTTAACTTTGGGAAGGTAAGGACTTTCTCGCCAAGGTAGCTAGCAGAGGCCAGCCGTCGGACTAGTTCGAACAGGCAATTACATGGTGGTGGTTTGAAGCTTAGGGGCCTCCGTTGTGCAAAGAACGGGTCACGGTGAACAGAGACAGTAGACGAGTAATGAGTGGTCGGACAAAAGCTCCCGAGATAATGGACAAGAACCGTAGTTTAACTGAGATCTACTACGTCAGCTTGACAGGAAGGTAAGAGTATGGTTTACCAGTCACAGAGTTACAGCTTCAGCCCCAAGAGACGAAAGATGCATGGCAAGAACAGCCATTGGGCGCTAGCTGTGACGGCTGGTGTTCAGGAATAATAGAGAATTGACATTTTATATGCGTATGATCGTTTCAGAGAACAAGAGGAGAGGACGTGTATCATGTCTAAATGATGAAGTCGACTTGGGGTGGTGCGACACAACTAAGACGAAGGTTGCAGCCCCTTGCGCGTCGGAGTTAGCCGTGAGCCTGGCGCAGTACCTACAGGCTACCCGTTGCATATATCTTAAATCGAAGGGACAGCTGTCATTTGCTCACATTTCTTGGTAATGCCAGGTAAGTGACAACGGGAACAAATCCAATCCAGCAACAGACAAACAACAACGGTACTCTTTTATGGTTCTCCTGAATTAAATTCCAGGCTCAGAACCACGGGTGATGAGCGATGGATCCTTGCTACTGGAGGAGTAGCGAGTATACGAGGACACCGTGATGCAACCTAAATGGGTGACCCTCCCTGCAGGGCGTACCCGTCCATTACACGAGGTTTTCACCCTTCGTGTATGCTACCATACCTGTAGGGTGACAAGAAGCCGGGTAGTCATGAGTGTGGTTTGCGCATTAGTGAATATCCCCAGCTATCAGAAGTTTCATTTGGTCGGATTAAAAGCCAGGTCACTAAAAATGTTCATTCATTTCGAACAAGCAAACAACAAACAGCCGCTGGAAAGGGCAATTCGCGGAGGCAAGTGAAACGACAATTACCTCTTAGAGTATGGGATTAGAATGGAGGTTCCCAGAGCCTATGTGCTATGGCTTAACAGGGATGAAGCACTGATGTGAACCACCATGTCAAGTAGAGGCGAACCACCGTGTTATGTGTGTCTGTGAATGAGTGTGCTGTAGCACCAAACAAGTATTTTCTACATAACGCATCGTCAGATCCACCGTTTGATAAGGGTACGCTACGCGTGATCAAAATGGTTCCCAACAGCGAGATACTAAGGCTTCGGTTTGCCATGGTTAGTTGGATCCGGTCAAAGCGAAGCATCGGACACTGCATAGAGCGGTCAGAGCTATTCAGGGATTGGATCAGGCTTGAAGGAAGTGCGAATGAGTTGACCTGGTACGGAATCTTAAGGCAGGATGTAAGGAAACACAACCAGGTCGGCGGAGATGGGTATGAAAACAATTACGGCGACATGCGCTAAACACAATGCAACACAATAATGCTTCAGAGAGCCGATAGAGATGTAGTCGCAGGAAGTGAACGTCTGCGTAAGAGGTAATGTGGTGATTTGTAGATAAGAAAACCTGGGAGGGTAGTCGTCCCACTTGAAGTTTGATGGAACGGGGTTCAAGCCGGTGATTATACATGCTTGGATCTAGTAATGGGAAGTTGGGATGAGAGCGTGAATTAGAGGGACTTAGGGCCTATTTCAAGGTGTATGTTGCAAGCTGTGGCGCGGGAAGTCGCCCATCCCTCCCAATAGAATGACCTTTCGAACGCTCACATGAGATCATAAGATACGGATATGGGTGAACTTGTTCCATAATTTGGAATACAGGTAAAAGAAAGTTTTGTCCAAAACAGTTCGGCAGGTCGACAATGGGAGCAAAACTCCAGAGTTGCCGATATTATGGGGAGAGCGGTGTTGATTCCTTTCTTCTACCTTTTATATTGTACAACGCAACTCCCCTTTTTTGTTATTTTGGTCTGTGCCTATACCACCCTTGTTGTTTTTGACCTGAACATAAACCGTTCTTTGACCTTGTCATCGGACGTGTCGTTTAAGTTCACACGTGGTTTCGCCAGCTTGTAAACAAGTGGCTCCGAGTCGGCGTGGACTTTGAGACCCGTCAGGAATTAGCGGTTCCTAAACCGGTGTATAGGAGCCGGCATAGTCCCACGATTTGAGGTTTGTAAAGCCTTATCATTTTATTATTGTACTTATAATACCGCATATGTAGATAAACCTCCATTTGAAAGAATTGGCTTTTGGGGTTTTGCGTGTAACTCGACGTGGTTCAACAGGTTGCTGGAATCAATCTATAGTACTCAAATCAGGAAATCAAATCTCAAGTACCCGGTGGATCTCAGACGTTCAGCTCAATTGGAATCTGGAACTTTGTAAACAATATGCCCAGAACGAGAAGCAGCAAGTCGTTCGAAATTATGTCCAACCCGGAGCTTGCTAACGCTATGAACCATATTTCTGATAGCGCTGTTGATCGTGAAATTTGCATTTATCAGCCTCCTTTATTTAGTCGACATTCTCCCCCTAAACCTAGCGTAGGTGGTAGTATAAGGTCCATCAGGCACGTGGGTAGACAGAGAAGCAGGTTAGAGAATGAGATACTGGAGGAAGAGCTTGCAATAGAGATGAAGGAACTGGATATTCGAAGGCGGAAGTTAGCGTCCCGCAAGCAGATGCTGTTGTCTTGCGACTGCTTTGATGAGGAAAACTCGATATGCGGTGACTGTGAACTTGGATTTCCATCCAGTGAACCGAAGGCCGAGAGATTCGTGGCGAAATTTAATTCAGAGGAAACGGAACGCACGAATTTATCTACTAATCGGCCGAGAAAAGGCGACGCGGCCGGGACTCGAACCGCAGCGCGCGAAATGGACGCCAAGCGCGTTGACCACTATACCACAACGCCAGGATTCGGTCTACCGAAAATAGAAATAGATAAGTTCAGCGGAAATCCGATAGAATTCTGGAAGTCTATGAAAGCGTTCGAGATGAGCGTAGCTGATCGGCTGCTTGACGACAGCAATAAATTGATGTACCTTCTTCATTATTGCTGCGGGGAAGCCAAGGAGGCCATTGAAAACTGCTTGTTCCTCCCTGGAAAGATAGGCTACCAAAGAGCCATGGATACCCTTAAGACGCAGAGCTGATCGGCTGACGACAGCAATAAATTGATGTACCTTCTTCATTATTGCTGCGGGGAAGCCAAGGAGGCCATTGAAAACTGCTTGTTCCTTCCTGGAAAGATAGGCTACCAAAGAGCCATGGATACCCTTAAGACGCAGTTCGGAAGGCCACACGACATTGCACAGTCGTTCATGAACGACCTTCTGACTGGAGGGCCCATTGCTCCCGGAGACGTCGATGCCTTACGAAGGCTGATAAGGTAAACTGTGATCTCGCATTAAGACAGATGCATTACATGGCCGATTTGAACTGATCAACCAGTCTCAAGCGTATAGTGGAACGTCTACCTTGGCGTTTGCAAGAAAAGTGGGCTGAGGCGGCAGACGACATACTGCGTTCGGGATCAGAGCTGGAGTTTGATCATTTAGTATCCTTTCTTAACAGAAGTGTATCCATCGCTTCAAACTGTTACGGTGTTATCGCCAGCACAAGAAGATATGCTAATCAGATAGACAAAGTGGGCTTAGAACGCCCGCCCAGAAAGGCCCGCATCAACGTCGTAATTGTGAAAGCGAGTGTGACTTGTCCTCACTGTTCCCAGACTCATAGCCTCTCAGACTGTGAAGTGGTTGGCATCCTACCCCAGGTCAAGAAACTGACTATACTGAGAGGCCTCAAGTTATGCTTCAATTTCCTGGAGCCTAACCATAGAGCATTTGAATGCCGCGTCCCTACACGTTGCGACGTATCGAATTGCAACCAGCGACATCACCGTCTGCTTCACGACACACAGCGGATGGTTGTTAAGACAACAAAGGC